AACAGATAAACAAATAAACATCAGGGAACAAACACATATAAACTAATAAACAACAGGGAACAGAAACAGATAAACTAATAAACAACAGGGAACAGTAACAGATAAACTAATAAACAACAGGGAACAGAAACAGATAAACGACAGGTTCTCACCACAGATCACAACATCATCTGCAAACATCATCATCCACGGGGATTCCTGCCTGACCTCATCTGTTAGTCGGTCCATCACTAGGGCAAATAAGAAGGGGCTCAGAGCTGATCCTTGATGCACTCCCACCTTCACCTTGAAGCTATCTGTCACTCCTACAGCACATCTCCCCACTGTTCTGCTGTCCTCATGCATGTCCTGCTGTCCTCATGCATGTCCTGCTGTCCTCATACATGTCCTGCTGTCCTCATGCATGTCCTGCTGTCCTCATACATGTCCTGCTGTCCTCATACATGTCCTGTACCAGTCTAACATACTTCTTTGCCACTCCAGATTTCCTCATGTAATACCACACCTTCTCCCTGGGAATACTCTCTGTCACTTCATACAGATCTTTCTCCTCCACATCACATCCACCCTGTGGAGCATAACCACTAACGATGTTTAGCATCAGACCTTCTACTTCTACCTTCAGACACATCATCCTGTCTGACACTCTTTTCACCTCTACTACATTCGTTGCCAACTCCTCCTTCAGGACCACCCCTACTCCATTTCTCTTTCTATCCACACCATGGTAAAACAGTTTGAACCCTGCTCCAATGCTGCGAGCCTTGCTGCCCTTCCACTTGGTCTCTTGGACACATAAAACATCTACCTTCCTTCTCAGCATCATGTCAGCCAGCTCTCTACCTTTACCTGTCATTGTCCCCACATTTAGAGTTGCAACCCTCAGTCCTACATTCTTCACTTCCCTCTTCTCCTCTGTCTCCTGACACGTTTCCCTCCTCGTGGTCTTCGACTAACAGCAGCACAAGTTCTGCTGGCACCCTGTTTGTCAACAGCACCGGTGGTGGTCGTTGTTAACTCGGGCCTGTGGTTTCACTTTGATGAACTAGCATTATGTTTTGGTCAAAGTGTTTTACGTCGGATCCTTCTTGACACAACCCTCACCATTTACCCGGGCTTGGGACCAGAACCAGAGATACACTGGCTGGCACTCCCTAATGGTTGGTTTTAAGCAAACAACAGCTACCAGTCACAAATAAACTAATAAACAATCCCCACAAACAAACAAGATCCTCGCCCACATGTCGACATCTTGTTGTAAACACAGCTCTGACCTGGACAACATCATCTGTGTTCACTTTCATGGAATAATCACTCAAACACCTTTTCCTAACGACGTTAACGTTCTCCCAAAGAGTTCTGGGAATTGTAGGCCGTCATATTTCAGTCTCTTGCTGTTCAGTCCTGAAGTGTCTTCGTGCAGCTCTAAAACCTCTGAGCAACACGCGTGTGTTTCTGCACACGGAGCTCAGCTGCTCAGTGAATGTGACAGCAGCTGTGTGTGTGTGTGTGTTTCTCACTAATAATAACACTCACACAACATGTAAAATTAGAACACACACTTGTTCATATTAGTGTCTTCAACCCTGGACGACCTCTGACCTCCTGCAGGACCTCTGAGAGACTGAGAGAGTTTTTATCTGTTGATTTGACCAGAAATATTCAGCAGGATTTATCTCCTCCTACAGGGAGTCCTCTTCAAGATGGTGGCATGATCATGGACAAAACGTCCTTCACAGTCAAATAAAACAGGAATGAGACAAACAACGAGTTAAATGCAACACATTTCAGAAGAAAACTGAATAAAACTGTTTCCTTCACTGTCGTTCCTAAAGAGTTAAAGTAGAAACAGACAGAAGTGTCTAAAGGTTAATTTATTCTAAACATTATTCAAAAATCATGTCTGTCATCTAAACTTAGTTGCCACAAAAAAATTGCTGTTTGAGAATTAATGAAGACTTGAAAGGCTGTAAACTGCAACATGAGAATAGTTGTATCTGGTTGAAGGAGGTTACACAGAGGTAAAAGGAAAGAGTTGCTTCATACAGTCATCAAGTTGTTTTTGGAGCTGAGCAACCTGATCCGATAAAGTTCTGCAGTTTTACAAACATCAAACAAGGATAGATATCATTATACTTTTTAATAAAAACGTCAAATCACATGGGGCCATGAACAGGTCCTAGTGGAACGCCTGAGGTTGTTGTAGAGTTCTGTCAGACAAATGTTTGCTGAAGTGTTCCGTGTGTTTGTGTCTTCAGGACGGTGGTGCTGCCCTGCGCCTCGTTCTGTGAGGCGGCCAGACAAGGCTGCGAGCCCGTCCTGCACATGTTTAACGCCTCCTGGCCCGACTTCCTGCGCTGCTCACAGTTCAGTAGCATCACCTCTGCTCTGGCTCCGCCCTCATCAGCATCACCTCCGTCTTCGTCGCCTATGGCAACCACAGGCCTCCCTCCTCCTGTATGCTTCACTCCACGACAGACCAAAGGAAAACCCTGTGAGTACGAGCACACATACCTGCTGCTCTGATCACATGGTATGATGACATCATCACTCTGTCTCCTTTCTGATTGGTCAGCAGCTGTGTGCGGAGGCAAGGACCTTTTCCTGTGCGCGACGGGGATTTGTGTCCCTCAGAAACTGGTGTGTAATGGCTACAACGACTGTGACGACTGGAGCGACGAAACACACTGCGGTCTGAACACACACACGCACACGCACACACACACACACACACACTTTGTTTTGTCGTCTCTATGAATAGAAGTTTTCAGCCGTCGTCATGGTGACGTGTTTCAGGTGATTGATGGGCTGAGAGTTCCCGGAGTCTGTGTGGTCGTCATGGAAACATAAAGAGGATATGAGACGAGGAATGTAAAGAAGAAGAAGAGTTTGTGACGTCAGTCCAGCTCTCAACCTCTCTCTGACCTCGGCTTTACAGCCACAGGGTTTAAACACCGTCAGAGACGGGAAGGAAACAAAATGACGTGGAACAATAAAACCAACAACGGCCTGCTGCGAACACGAGACGAGGAAAACTGAGGGAGAGACTTGAACAGGAGGAAAGGAACGATGAAAAATAAAACTTTAATTAAAGTAAAACAAAACAAAACAAAACAGCCCGAAGCAGCTTCGAGTCAAAATAAACCAGAGTTGAATCAGAGGACGAGGACAAACTGGAGACATCTGGAGACATCTGGAGACGTCTGACCACAGATAGAAACGGAATCAGAGTTCAGTTCAATCAAAACACTGAAAAGAACTTTATAAAGAACTTTATAAAGAACTTTATAAAGAACTTTATAAAGTTCTTTATACAGATGGAACAAAGTTCATACAAACAATAAAAGGCCACAGAAACATATGGACACCAAAAAGAGTTCATGATGAAGATGGTGATGATGATGTTGATGTGGTGATGAAGATGAAAATGATGATGTGATGATGAAGATGATGATGAAGGTGTGACCTCTGTTTCCACAGAGTGCTCAGACACAGAGTTTCGCTGTAACACGGGTCGCTGCCTGGTTCTGGATCTGGTGTGTGACGGCTACGACGACTGTGGAGATCTGAGCGACGAGCTCAACTGTGGTGAGAAGACACCGCCGACGGTTCTGGTTCTGAGTTAACATAAGAACAGGAAGCAGTTCGTGCACCTGGTGGTAGAACCAGCCGGGTCAGAACTTTACTGTAACTTAATGTTCTGTCAACAAAATCAAACACTGAACTTCAGAAATGAAAAATGATCTGAACCCAGTTTATCTAACCCCACCTCTGTGCGTGCGTGCGTGCGTGCGTGCGTGCGCGTGTTGACAGAGTGCGACCCGGCCCAGCAGCACCGCTGCGGTGACGGTCGGTGCATCTCCACGTCCTGGCTGTGTGATGGAGACCACGACTGTCTGGATAAAAGTGATGAACTCAACTGCTGTGAGTTCCTCTGGATTTTATATTTAATAAATTTAAGGTTCAAACATTTTAATTCTTTTATTTTATTATTTTTATCCTGATTTAAAGATGAGAATGTTAAATATGAAAACTTTCTTCAACAAAATGTGGAAATAAAAACAGAACACTAAAAAAAAAATTAGAAGATAGAAAAACAAACAGAAGCCTCTTCAGACCAACAGGAGACCTGCTGCCTGTCTGTCTGTCTGTCTGTCTGCCTGCCTGTCTGCCTGTCTGTCTGTCTGCATGCCCGCCTGCCTGCCTGCCTGCTTGTCTGCCTGTCTGTCTGTCTGTTTGTCTGTCTGCCTGCCTGTCTGCCTGTCTGTCTGTCTGCATGCCCGTCTGGCTGCCTGACTGCCTCTCTGTCTGTCTGCCTGCCTGTCTGTCTGTCTGTGTGCCTGCCTGTCTGTCTGTCTGTCTGTCTGTCTGTCTGCATGCCTGCCTGCCTGTCTGTCTGTCTGCCTGTCTTTCTGCCTGCCTGTCTGCCTGTCTGTCTGCCGGCCTG